TTTACATTCAGCAGGCGCTACGTTCCAAAGGGCGTTGGACACAGTAATAGGACCGGACATGGAGCCGCACGCTTTTGCATACTTAGATGACATTGTGGTGATCGGCGCCACGAAAGCGCAGCATGTGGAGAACTTGAGGGAAGTTTTCCGCCGATTGAGGAAAGCCAACCTTCGAGTAAACCGGAAGAAATGCAGCTTCTTCAGGAAAAGGTTGGTCTATCTCGGGCATGTCATCAGCGAAGAAGGGATACGCACAGACCCCGCAAAGGTCGAGGCGATCCGCCGCTTCCCGACACCATCGACTCTCAAGGAACTGCGGCAGTGTTTAGGAATGGCATCGTGGTACAGGCGATTCGTGCCAAACTTTGCGTCGATGGTGGAACCAATGACGAGACTCCTGAAGAAAGGCCACAAATGGGAATGGAGCGACGAGCAAGAGGAGTCATTGAAGCAACTCAAAGAGAGCCTCACGACCGCGCCAGTGTTGGCGTGTCCCGATTTTTCAGCGAGGTTCGTACTACAGACGGATGCCAGCGACTACGGCTTGGGCGCAGTGCTCACACAAGAGGTCGAAGGCGAGGAAAGGGTGATTGCGTACGCTAGTCGGAAGATGTTGAAAGCGGAGCTCAATTATTCAGCTACAGAAAAGGAGTGCCTAGCAATTGTCTGGGCTATCAGGAAAATGCGTTGCTACCTCGAAGGCTATCGATTTGAGGTAGTTACAGATCACTTGGCATTGAAGTGGCTCAATTCAATAGAGAGCCCCACAGGGAGAATCGCGAGGTGGGCATTGGAGCTGCAGCAGTACCAATTCGACATCCGCTATCGACGAGGGAAACTAAATGTGGTGGCCGACGCACTCTCTCGCCAACCTGTGGAAAGCTGCCAGCGAATGATGGAGACCAATCCCCCTTGCAAGTGGATAGCGAGGATGCGTGGGAGGATCAAGGAGGATCCAGAGAAGTTCAAAGATTACGTTGAGGAGAACGGGCAGCTGTACCGCAATCTTGGCCACCGGGTGGACGACGAAGACTACATTCCCTGGAAATTGTGCGTCCCAACCCACCAGCGGAAAAGAGTGCTGCAAGAATGCCATGACGCTCCCACAGCGGGGCATCAAGGCGTGAGGAAGACGGTTATGAGGCTGGCGCAAAGGTACTACTGGCCGGGGATGTTCCGGGAAGCGACTCTATACGTGAAGCGATGCGAGGAGTGCCAAAAGTTTAAGAGCGAGCAACGCAAACCAGCGGGTCAGATGCTGACCAGGCAAGTAGCGGAGCCCATGTCGATTCTGTGCGCGGATTTCGTAGGTCCCATGCCTCGATCGAAGCGCGGGAATACAATGTTGCTTGTGTTCCATGATGCGTTCGCCAAATGGGTGGAGCTGGTGCCGTTGAAGAGGGCAACCGCGGCGTTGCTGCAAGCGGCTTTCAGGGAGCGCATTTTGGCTCGATTCGGAGTCCCCAAGATGTTCGTCTGTGACAACGGCGCGCAGTTTGCGAGTAAGGGATTTCGGTCATACATGGAGTCCTTGGGGGTGCGGCTACAGTTCACTGCCCCGTACTCCCCGCAAGAAAATCCGACCGAGAGGACCAATCGCACCGTAAAAACGATGATAGCCCAGTACATCGAGGGACATCAGAGTTCGTGGGATGTGCTGCTACCAGAGATATCGTTAGCGATCAACTCTAGTGTCGCGGATTCTACTGGATTCACGCCTGCGTTCCTGATGATGGGTAGAGAGCCTCGCCTCCCGTCTACCCTTTACGACGAGGTCACTCCCGGGTCGGCAACGAGGGAAGTCGACTTAGAGACAAGGAAAGAGACGATGAAAGAAATCTTCGAAGTGGCCCGTAATAATTTGCAAAAGGCGTCGAAGGACCAAGGCAGGTATTACAATCTGCGCCGACGAGAGTGGAGACCCGCGCTAGGGTCGATGGTTCTGCTGCGGCAGCACCAGCTGTCCAGCGCAGCGGAGGGCTTCGCGGCGAAATTGGCGCCCAAGTTCGAGGGCCCCTACAGGGTCGTCCACTTTATCTCCCCCAACGTGGTGCGACTCGCTCGAGCGGGCGAACGAAGGAAGAGGGTGGCCAACCTTTCCCAGCTTAAGCCTTTCTACACAGAGGAGGAGGAGACCGGCGAGACGATGCTGAGAGAAGAAGCTGGTGAGGAGGGAAGCGGAGTTTTTCAGTCGCCGACATCGCCGCACGCGTTTCAAAGTGACGTCGGACGCCGGAGTCTACAACGTCACGGTGGCGGCCACAGGAGCCGTGGTCGTCTCCTTGATTAAGTAAGGGGGGGGTGTGAGGCGGCGCCCCAGTTACCGCCTCACGATTATTTGAAATGAAGAATGTTTATTTTTTATGAAAGAGAGAGGAGATGTTGATTTGCGAATTGGAATTAAGAGAGTGAAGAAATGTTTATTTTTGGGTTGAAATGAAGAAATGTTTATTTTTATTGGAATCGAAGAAACGTTTGTTGTTATTGAATTGTTATCGGAATTTATGAAATAGTTAGTTTATTTTGTAGTCATTAAGATTTAGAGTTAAGTTAGTAAATTAAGTAGGTTTAATTAGGGTTAGTTTTGTAGTCGGTAAGATTTAGCTGTAGCGGTTAGGAATTAAGTTAGTGATAATTAAGTAAAAATTAGTATTTGATATAATTTTGACATTTGAATTGATATTTGAAAATGCCGCCCAAAGCGCTGACGATTTATCGGCGATCGGCGGCGCAACCCTGCGTGGAGAGTTGTGAGCGGAGAGTTGCGTCGCCGACGCCGAGCGCTTTGGGCGAGCGCAAGAAAAGAGACAGTTGGAGTCGAGTTTTGGGAGTCGAATCGAGAAGAGGAGGGTCGGGATTGAGTAGCGAGAAGGAGCGGTTGACCGCGAAGAGAAGGTGATAGAGTTCCTTTTAAATTTAAGCGCGTAGTGGAATCTTGTGAAACGCGGCTAGGTTAAGTGACATTTTGAATAAAAGAAGAAAGAAACACGGTACGAGATCGACGACTTTCATTGGCATAAACGGCGACTGGAGCAAAATTTGACGGCGACGAGGAGTCAAGAATTTGGGTGAGAAGACGCTGGAGAAGAAAAAGGTACACGTGAGTGGCGGTCCCCATATTAGATTTCCCCCCCCTCTCCCATTTCCCGGCCAATAACGTTAGATATTCCCCCCCCTGGTGTCTCACTATTTCATACAAATAAATTTCTTGTGAGTACACCCTGGGTAGACTGAGTCTACCCCAGCATTTAAATTTACTACCTTACAATATAAAAACGATAAATTTTTTTGGGATAATTCTTGCTTGTTGCGATTATTAATTGTTTTCTGCTTATATACAAGCAAAAAGTAGATCAATTCATTGATAAATGCACCTTGGAGAACTTCTTAAACTTTGCATTTGCAAGTGGTGCTATTTTATTTTTCGTAGCTGTATATATATACCCGAGTATATAATCCATATATCAAGTAGTATTTCCATATTACTTTAGATATACAAGGACAATGCATCAAATCACTATATAGCCACATGTAATTTGTCATGGACAATGGGTTTGGATGCATTTTTTATCTAAATCTGTAGAATAAGAGTATATATTTCAAATTTTAACCAGGAAATGCAGTTTACGATTTGCCACGCCCCTTGTACGTGGATCAGGAAACTTTATAATTCAAGGCTACACACGAGTACATGTCCTGAATTTCAAGTCTCCAGCTTCAATATCATCGAAATCGATTGCATTCATTCGGACGGACAGCAATGAATACATATACAAATGTGCCTATATGAAGACACTCTGTGAAAACAAAGTTTTTATTTAAATATGGTAAGAAATATTAATATCGTTAGCAGTGTTGCCAAATCAGCTTTTTTCCCGTCAAATCTGGCTTTTTTGAAAATCCAATTGCGGGAAAAATTCCAAAACAGCGGGAAGCGGGAATTCTGAATTTATTTTTTTAAACTAATTTGCTTTTTTCCGCTTTTTTCTTTACTAATCAATTTATCATAATTTGTAGCGATGTCATTGCAGTTGAATTCAAACTAAATAGTTCATTAGGTCAATTTTCTATGAATGAACCAATAGAGGGGAACTAACTAAACTAAAATATGATTTATATTGTATTCAATATAACTTATTATGAGCAATCGAACTTCTTGATTCTATGTAAATAAAAAGTAAAAATTCTCTAACAGAGCTGCAAATAGTGAAAAATGTTGCTTCGTTTTCTTGCATATGTATATATTTTGCGAGTAAACAAAAATAGTATCGTTCCAATACTAGTTATTCTATTCAAAGAGCATTGAAAGTATTGAAAGTATATATACGAATATTCACCCAATTCAGTTAAAACTCTACATAGTTTCGGGTGAGAGGTGTGCTTATATGTATTCGGGAGGAAATAAAAATTTAGGGACTTGGCCACTTATGCAATGGCATTGCTTTCCTTGCCATGGTCGACCGCGCAAGTGGTGAGAAGTTTTAGTGTAAAAACATAATTACACAATAAAATGAATATTGATATGCTTACTCAATTTTAAGCGTCAGGTAAAACCTATAGAGTGTAAAACTTAACAGTTACGGCTTGCCACGGTTGAAGAAATGCTGCCATGACTTCTAGTTACTAAAAATATATTTAAATATCAATCAAATCAAAGCAAAAACCATCAGCTTTTTTGTCCGATTTTTTTTTTTCACAAAATTTCAGCTTTTTTTTAAGTATCTTCCCACTAAAAACTGCTTTTTTTGCTCAACAAAAGTTGGCAACACTGATCGGTAGGCACCCTGCAGAGAAATAGCTATGGTCAAAAATTGTAAGACCTATAAGAGCAGAGATTAATACCGTAAGGGACACTGGTAGGGAAAAACTCAAATTTGAATATCATAAGAGATTGAATACCGTTAGATACTATTATAATATGAATATCGTAAGAGATATGCCAGGGCTCATGGGGAGCTTGGATATCGCACACACTGGGGAGAAGCCGAAGATTTTCGGGGTACGTTAGCCGTTAATTTGGGATCTAAATTTATATTTAACTACTTTACACAAGATATAACTTTATAATGCATCCCAATTCCATTTCGTGATGGTCCCATGCCATGTCACATGTCACATGTTAGGGCTTGCGGCGTTTGGACTGGCTGTGGATGTGGGTGTGGTGCGAACTGGGGTTCGGGTTGGAGCTGGAGTGGTGTCCTAGCTCGGAATTTGGAGCCTCTGCTACTGGCTTAAGGCGTCGCTTGCTGCTCGCTCGGTTGGCAGTGGCGGGCTTGAGGGTGGCCGCCCCAGAGGCACACGATCCTGCACTCGCTGGCAGAACAACGGGCGGGGACGGCGCCACAGCAGCAGCTGCCGTCGCGGTCAGCGTTGCAGATGTAGTGACGATTGCGCTGCCAGTCCTGGCCGTCTCATCGTAGCTGGTCAGCTGGCTGTGCTCCGTTTTGATATGGGCGCCAGGGGCAATCATGAGGAGATCGTTCGTGGTGGCCCGTTGCGGCGCCTCCTTGTCGAAGCGTTCACATTTGATGTGACGCAGTGCATCGGGCGCATGGCCATTGGCCATGGCATTGTCGTTGTTGTTGGGCTCGTCCAGGTGCGGCGCCTGCAGCTGCTGCCACTCGAGAATGCCCGTCAATAACTTGATGTACTTGATGGCCGAGCGCAGGATCTCGTTCTTCGACAGCTTCTTGTCCGGCGGATGGGTGGGCACCAGCTTGCGCAGCTCCGCAAAGGCGCCTGACACGTTCTGTTGGCGCCAGCGCTCGCGCGTATTGGTGAACACCTTTCGCACGCCGCCCGCACCGACACCGCCGGACACCTGACCATTGCCAAGTCCCAGCCCAGCGACGGCTGTGCCGCTTGAGTTGCTGTTGCTGTTGACGCCATTCGAAGGCGGAGCCAGATGCCCGTTGACGAAGACATTGTTTCCGCTGCGTGGAGAGTTGGACAGGGACCGATTTGCTGTCGAGTTAACAGAATATTGAGTTATTGACTGGGGACTGGGACTCGAACTGGGGCTAATTGGGCGTTCGCTGTCGAGCTACTTACCGTCCGCTTGGCTGCCGTTGAGCACAATATAGTCGCGCAGATCGTCGTCGTCCTCCTCGGTGTCGTTCAGCGAGAAGTCCGATAGGTCACCGTCTCCGTCCGAGATCGACTCCGTCTTGGGCTGCACATAGGGCGTGGCATGACGTAACAGCGCCGGCGGCTGACGTGACGTCCCATTAACATTGCCGTTGCTCTCCTCTCGCCTGCCGTTTGCTGAGGACGAAGAGCTGGAGTGGCTGGTTGTGCTGCGCTCGTCCGCATTGTCTGCGCCGTTCGAGCTGCTCGGTAGCCAGGCCATGACCGAACTCCACAACGTGTCACACCGAAATGATGAGCAGCAACAGCCGTAGCAGATGCAGAAGAAGACAGAACCCACCCCATCGACAGCAGACATTGAGGGGCGGCGCTTGCGAGTGGCTGCAACCCTTGGCCAAGGCATACACACACGGGCTGGGGCCAAAGCGCAGCGAGTGGGTGGTGAACAGATGTGAGCCTAAGACTTGCCTGTGCCCATTTCCGTGAGCGGAGAAGGGCGTACATTAAATATGGGCCTGGGAGCCGAGGGCGACAGAAAGGGGCTCGGGTAGTCTGGGACTCCCTCAGTTCTGGATGTGGCCAACTTGACTAGCTTTTGCTTCTTGGCTGACTTCTCGGCGTCCCGTGACTGGGCCGACTGCATCTTTGACTTGACGCGAGAAGTCGATAGCGGCCCTGGAGTCGTTAGGGCCAGCTGGGTGGCTTGCGATGGATTCATAAAGAACATTTTGTCCCGGCGCTCGTGACCCTGGAAGTTCATGCGCAGATCCACATTGTATTTACCGTCGAACACATCGTTGGGCTTGTACAAATATGTTGTGGGCGACATGGTGGGGTCCAGGTACTCCACTTGCAGCTCCACCGGAAAGTCGGTGCTCAGTACCTCGGTGATCTCAAAAGGCGAGGCATCCGCCACATGCAGACGCAGCGGCAGCCGGGGCGACATGCGAAAGGTGACACGCTTCACATAGCGGCCCATATCCACATTATCCTCCGCCCTGATATACACGCACCACGTGGGCTCGAATACGAAGGGCCGAAAGTCATCGGCCTTCTCGGGCTTGCATCCCAGCACTAGATTCTTACAGATTACAATGCCATCGCCGGCGACGTTGTCGCCGTCGTCTGTGATCCGCTTCATCGAGGCTGCTCGGCGGTAGCTGACGCGTTGATAGCCATCCACCGGATACGAATGGAGATTTGTAACGCTCATCATAGCAATGTAGATTTGTTGCTCGAGTATGGATATAATTATAATTGATGTCGACGATAATTAACTCTGCAATTTAAGGCCAGGGAATTTTGGGAAATGTGCCACAAGGATTATGAAATTTTTCAAAATTGTTATTTACATATAACTCTGTCCTACTGTTTGTTCACCCAGCATTCCCTACAATTTTTGGCATTTAAATCGAGGCAACATGGATCTGCTTAGTTTGAAACTTCAATTTCTTGACTAGGTTTGAATCATAAGAGCAATAGATGAACGATTTCTTAACAACTTGTTACCAATTATTACTACGTCCCATCCTTAACCTTATTTATAGAGTTATGTGTACTCTCCCCATATGGAAATATCCCTAGAAATATCTCAAATATATAATGCAGCAATAGATATCGGACATCTTATTCTGAAAAGGTCCATTTTTCAATCAGCAATGGTGGAATTGGATCGGAATATACAAGATTATACTTTGAGGGTATTCAATAATCGGGTTGCCAATAATTAGTTAATTAGCTACTTGACTTTGCTAATTGTCAATTCGATCGTTATCTTTGCAATGGTTTCACTTTTTTTTTTACCTAGGACAAGAATTAAGTTTGCAAATGGAAAACTTTGAAGGGTCGAGCGTGTAAATTTCAACGCTACAAACTTTTTCAATTGCATCCGCGAATATTTTCACGCCCTGGATTAAACCAGTATCCGCCCAAGTGGCCCACTCTGTAGGCCACCATCAGTTCTCTAGCCTTGCCACCTTCTATGCGAGTGATAGAGAGAGAGAGAGAGAGTGAGAGAGATTAAATAAAGAGGGAGAGATACGCTGCTTCGACGCAGGCGCTGAAACAGAACTGGGCGGAGTCAGCGAGCCAACCCCTATCCTCCAGCCTCATCTCAGCTAACGAGCCCAACAAACCAGTCACAATAGTCAGATAAATCTACACTCAGTCCGAGTAGCTGTGGCATGTGGGCTGTCGACAGGAAAGTGAGTTTTAATTGCAAATTCCAAATCGTGATAGACGGACGTTTTCAACTGATAGAGTTGCGATACATATGATATACACAAATAAATCTGTTAAATCAAACCAAAAAGACCTCTGAATTTTGCATTTTTTGTCGACGGTAAAACACAGTTTGGATATCAAAACATAAATTCAGTGTTGTTTTTATTATAAAACGTTCAAGTGTTTTTCTTAAGAATACCCTATTGAATACCCTATATCAACGTTATCTGCGGAATACCGAACTTGTCGCAAACTAGTTTTATCTTAATCTGGTTCCCTTATTCAATGATCTAAAAGAAGGATTCATACAACTTATGAAGCCAGTTCCGTCCATAGTAACATGTAAAAGTTTTTCCATACATGGTCTAGGCTAACTCGATAAATAGATCTTACTGACTAATGTATACCAGCAAGGTCTACTCGTATATAAATTCGATTCAGTGAAAGGTTTCCCTCGTCCATTTCCCATATGTGTGCGAAAGCACTCAATAAAGAACTTTATTTCCATCTTGGGTGGAATGAAAATGAGAACTACTTAAAGTTAGTCGTATCTAGAGCCAAGTCCTTATGATCCTCACTGCTACAATTTATGTAGAATATCATGAGACAAGTTTCAGAGACAAGAAAAGTTTTTAAAGGCAAAGTAGGCTCGAACTGCTCGCCTGGGCTGGTCAGGTACAAAAAACAAAGTCTCACATCTGGTCTCTCTCTGTTGAAGTTAAAATCTGAAAAGAAAATTCTATATAAAATGGGCTTGACTGTCGCTGACTGTAAGAAGATGCTCGCCACACTCTTTGTCAATATGTTCTCATCTTTTGTCGGACTCCTGCTCAATTCGTGGACAAGTCTCATAGGATTGTATCGCAAGTTCCATATCTACATGTTTGTGTTCTCCGTGTCCTATGCCATAATGGTTTACGAAATTCGCAAGCTGGCAATGAGCTATGAAAGTATCGGTGGACTGTATTTGCATGCCTTCATCGTATCACTCTCGATGTCGTTTATGTTCTTCTACGCCGGCTTGGTCTTTGAAATATTTCGCAATCACATTCAAGGCCACCTGGTGGTCCCACGACGATCGAGAAAGGTGAAGCAGCAGTGAAATCTGTAACAGCCTGAGCACGAATGGTTCTGTACATTAATAAATTAAATTCCCTGTTAATTATCCCATGAAATAAATTTATTCAAGATTTGAGATACATTATTAGCCATTCAATATTTTAAAAAATAATCACATCCAGCTGAAAACCTGTCCCCTTTCGATCGTTTGATGGATCACATACAAACATACTCTTGCTGCAATCGAAAGTTTGTGAAGAACTTATTCTGAGAATACTTAGACAATTCATGTTCAACTAGAGCCGAGCAACGCCGGTTAATTTAAAGACCCCATAAAAATCATGTAAGAACTGGAGAGTATATATTTCTTTATACTAATTCACGAAGGTTAAATGAGTATATTGATTTTGCGCAGTGTCCGTCTGTCCCTCCATCCATATTGATGCTATTGAATCTAGAGACTTGAAATTTGGAACATACTCTCGTGGACACCCTCCAATTATAACGCGTAAAATTTTCCGATCCGCTCCCTAGGGATCATATTAGTTGAAGAGCAAGAAAGCTCAACTTTGGAATGTATACTCGCGTTAACCATCCAAGATCAAAAAGCTATAGCGGATATATGTACGTCCATTGGGGCAAAACTGGGTAAAACTGAAATTTAGCTCATGAGCTTACATAGGGTGACCATCTGGGCCGGAGCTCATTCCAGGACTGTCAACAACTTGTCTCGACACAAACTTTTTCAAGCTTTCATTTTGTCAATATGACTATTTTTTTTTATCGAAACAATAGAAAACCGGGACAATTTCGTGTCAGGTCGGGACACCGGGACATTATCTCCAAAAGCGGGACATGTCCCGGAATTTCAGGACGAATGGTCACCCTAGTTTATATTGTGATTCTACAAAGATAGATGAGAAAACTTATATGTCTACGCTAGCTAATTAGGGACATGGAAAATTGGATCTGAGCTTCTAGTGATTTTTCTGCTATATTTCGTGCACTATTGATACTAGAGATATTAAATTTGTATGTATACTTGGGTTGACTCCCCAAGACCAGAAAACTATGGCATATAAATATACGCCCACAGGGGGCGTGTCAAATCACAAAGGTTTATATCTCCTACAGTTTAAGAGCAGGAGTTTCTGATAAACATCTCAAACATTCTAAGAATTGGCCAATAATCATGTGTCTGGGGGCGTGGCAAATCGGGAAAACTGCATGTTCTACAACATTAGAGCTAAAAACTCAAGTCAGAAAAAATACTGTGAATGAGTATTATGCAGTTCGCTATTCTGCTCTTTTAATAGCAAACACGAATACTATTATTATTCAATTTTTACGGCTTACTACTCTTATTATTTTTATTAACTTTGCTCTACTACATGTATCAAAAAATCTTTCTATATAAAAAAAACTATGTACTTTACTTCCAGTAGCACTACTTTTACTTAACTAATTTTAATTAATACTACTATTTAATACTACTAGCAATTCTACTACTATTACACCTACTACTATATCTGATGATACTAAATTCCACAAATAAAATTGTTAGTTCTACTTTGACTACTCTTTTTATTTTTTTTTATTACTAGTACTTAAAATACCCTTTTTATTATTAATACTTCTTTCTTCCACTATTATTTCCACTACTACTGCTTCTTCTACGACTACTGCTTTTTCTGTGCCTGCTACTTCTACACCAAATACTTCCCCTTCTTCACAATAATGTTACTACTACTATAACTATGCGATTAAAACTGATATCGTTATACTAGAACTACTACAAAATGTAAGGTAGATATATCAACCGGCGTACTATGTCGTAACGGCGTCAACGTACACTGTAACTGTAAGTCGAGCATTGCTGAATTTCGTCATCCATTTGATAATCTCATTATATATTCATGAGCGATAGCAGTGATATAAATTCGAATGTGTTCAAGGTGGTCATCAGTTTGGGATTAGGCCACTCAGTTAGCCACTTGGCCATGAGAACTCGTGCCTAATCCAGCTCACAGAGGGCGAGGCACAACAGCTACCAACATCCAACAGGCAACAATATAAATGCTACGACCAGCAGCCGGCGGCCAGCAACCCTCGACTGACACC